GGGGGACTTCTGTCATTCATACCGTCTGGCGTCGTCCGAGCATACATTCGCCTAAAAATACGCGTATTTTTGCGTTTTCTATAGTCGGCGAGAACGTTGATGAGCTGGACCAACTTTTCGAGGAGGTCGATGAACGCTGGAGGTATTTGGATCGCCTTTTGGATACAGCGGAGCGTCGTATTCGTGTTGCCAACAACAGTGTGGAATTTCTGAAGGAGGCGGAGCATGTCCAACGGATACTGAAAATGGAGAAGTCTGCAGCTGCTCTTACAACCAGCTCCCTCCCGATTGATGTAGACTCACAGGGTAAATATAATGTTTGCAGATATGGTTTTATTCCTATTTATTCCAAATCTGAGGAAGAATATCACCCTTTTAGGCCGAAAATGGAACAAGGGAATCTCTATTTAATACACCACGTGCTTCCTCACGTCACCGATCGCGGTAGGCGTTTTGCCCAAAAGCATGAAGTAGATTAATTTAATGATTGATAAATATTAAATTTTCCTAAGCACAAATCCATCCAAGTATAAGATGCCACTCCTCTTCTTGCAACGAAAACGTTGTTATGTTCTCTAGTATCTATAAGAAGTACTGTTTTACTGGCAAATTGTATTGAGTTCGACGTTCTCCCACAACTTAACGTCATAAACGAAGACTACGGATTCACGGAAACCCCTAAAAGCCATAAACCCTTTGAAAAACTTCTTCACACTAGCCTTGGCTCTTTTTTGAACAGACCGTTTCCAGGACGGCAAAGTTCCAAGTGGAAGGGAAAAGAGTATAAAGCATTTATCCCAACGTCTTCACGGAAAATAAAAGCAATAATAAAGAGGCGAGTACTCTTCTACTTAGTATAGGTTTTGACATAGCCGCTATAGCCGTTTAGGTGAAGGCAATCAGAAGCTAAGCGCTTTGAAGATAATTGGGAAATTAGTCCGAGATTTTATTAAATTATTTCACAAATTCTTTTCTTTTCAGCTGGAGCCAAGCAACAGCTCAAAAACCTCATCCTGGCTGCCGAGGCTCATCTTAAAAGGCCGGTTACCATAGAAGGAACAGAAAATTTGGACGACATGCTAGTCAAACATTCGGTAGGTCACAATTATCTCGACAGCACTTGTTGCTTTTACACGGCCAGTCTAGGATGGACAATTGGATTTCTCTAGATGTGCTTGATGGATTTTTTTCAGAAGCAGGTGAAGGCAACCATGAGCTTGTTTGGAAGATATCCGTACTTCTTGAAAAGGAAATTAGTCACCCTGGGTTGCATAAGGTGATTTAAGGACTGCTTATGGGATTTTCTCACATTTATATGAATAAGCCTCATGATGCGATTAAAGTTCGCCTAGCCTTGGCGCCCAAAAGGATTTTGAAGAAAACCTAATTGAGATAGAAGAACCATAATCAAATGCAATGACGAATACTTGTTTACCTCATTAGCAATCTTAATCGACTTCTAATTTGGGTGTTTGGATTACCTACTGGTATTCATGGCCTGGTTTTAATTCTCATTATGGCTGCTGACGGGACCTTAGCGAGTTCGAAGCCGAAGTTTAGCTATGAGAAGTATGCTATTTGGGAGGCAAGTTTAAGTGATCTTTAATGACATCGTTTGACCTATTCACATAATAGCATGGAGATTTTACCGTCATTCCTTAAATCAACTTAAACGACATAGGAATGAATAAATATTATGATAAGCAAGTTTACTATGGTTGTCTATTTGTTGTGATTGGTAGATAAATATGATAGTCGGAAGCTTTAAAATTTCGCCTCCTTTGTACATGACCTTCCTGCCGAAGAAAATGCTGTTTTATCTTGTAACAGTAATTAAGCTCTATCTCCGTTTTCAAACTTTAATGTCAGGCTTAGTTTACCTATATATATATATATATATATTGAGAGAGTGAGAGAGAGAGAGAATATATAGATGTTAGACTTGCCTTCTAAAGGTCATTGATGTGCCTTATTGCATAATGTACAGCGAAGCGCGTTCCTGCTTAGGATGTAATGCAGATTTAAATCGTCCCATGCCTATAAAGAGATTCGAACATGGGACACGAAATAACAGCTTATAGCATTTTATAATATAATCCGGGCTACAATCCTGTTGGAGGTGATGGTGGAACCTCGGAGAGCTTGGAATAGCAGTCCATTCCGAATAAAAAGCACCATGACATTCGTTGCAAATCCCGAAACACACTTCGAGTTTAAGCAAGCCCCCATTCTTAAATTAGCCTCTGATGGAATTTTACATCAAATTGTAAAAAACTTTGGCAAAATTAATCGTAAAGGGCTAATTCTGATCGGTTTTATCAGAATTTGTGATACCTCACTCGCATTCTTTCGGATTCTGACTTGAATACCAGATCTAGTTTGATAGTTTCCAAACTCTTAATAGGTCTGAGTTGTGCTCACTCTATTTCGTTTAAGGTGATGAAGGTGGTTGTATTTTCCCACAATGATATGAGTAGAGCTGATGTTTCTATCAAATTGCACAAAAGTGGACTACAGTTTCGACATCGCCTAGGTCTTATCAACACCCTCAGCGGGAGTAGAACCATTACAGTGCAACATGTAATCTCGACACGTTAACCACTACGCTACATTGCCACGAGTACCCTTGGGTCACAGGGCAGATGTTAATTTCAAGGGAGGTCAGGCATTTTCCATATCACATCCTGTTTTGGGATTGTCGATGAAGCAAACTTATATTTGCTATAGCAATCGACGACTACTTTTTTTCGTTAGTGAGTAGGTTTTTATACTACTGGTAAATAGTATATATTAGTTGTGTTCACCATATTTCGTTTAAGGTGATGAAGGACTGGCAGTTAAATTTTCCCACAATTATATTAGTTTCCACTGCATTTCACATAGCCTTTCTTTCTCATAAGCTTTCCTACTCACTAACGAAAAAAAGTAATGTCGTCAATTGCTAAAGAAAATAGAAATTCACATTTTCACTGTGATTTAAGGGCAATTGTGACAATGTGACGTAGTAGTTAACCTATCGAGATTATACGCTGCATTGTCATGGTTCGA